CACTGTAATGTGTAACTACAAATAGGGTAAGCACAATTATTTTTAAAATATTTTAAATAAAAGATCCTATGAATTATGATTCTATAGTTACTCTAAAAACTAGTATCAAAAACTTCGTAGATAGTTAATAAATCATAGTAAAAGAAATCACCCAGCGTATTATTACAAATTTAAAATTTTAGATATTGATCTTTGATAAAATATTATTTTCATTCTATGTATAAACAAAAAAGTGTTTTAAAAACTAAATTGATACACTAATGTTTTAAACATATATTTTAATCGTGTAAAAAATTGTATGAAACATTTGAAATACATTTTTAAACAAGTTGTTTAAATCTTTGTATTCAAAGCTTATAACAAACTTGAATTTTTACGTAAATGATGCAAATGACAAATTGTCGTAGTATGACCGTCTATTAAACAAAAGTTTTAAAGAAGGAAAAAATAAAAACGAGTAGGTACAGCTTTTTTGGCATTATATTTTATGACGAAGGATATAAATATAAAAAAAATATTTACTTTATCATTATTTTTTTTTTCAAGACTTATTCCTGTTACGCGTAATTATTCACATTTAAACAAATAACAATTATTAAGTTCCACAAAATACAATTCATTTTTCTTTTTTTATATATATTATTTATGATCTCCTTTCATATTTTAAGCTCCTATCAAAATAATAAGGAACCATTAGCTTAAAAATATGTAGATAAAATTAAATGATAATAATTGGTTACACAATTATTATTCCTTCAAATTTTTTCAACACGACATTAATATTTTAGATAATAATTCATAATTTAATTTATTTTATAAATAACTTTATCATTTTATTTAACAAATATAAATAGTTAAAAACATGAAACTGTTAACTGTTTACATAAAAATATTAATGTTTATAAAATAATTTGAATAATATAAAAATATTTACTGGTTTGATATTTCAAACAAAATGTAAAGGTTGAAAAAAAAACAATTTAAAAATATTTTTGTTCCATGTATTTATAACAAAATATTATAATAATACTGGTCGATTGGTACTATACATTTTAGATACTTTTTAAGCTATTTATAAGTGCTTAAAATGTTTAGTTTTTATTTATATTGAAATCAAATATTTATTTTTTTGGTGAAAAGCTTGATTACGTAATTTTAAATGTTTAAAGTGTAAAAACTTTTGCTGTCATTAAAAAAAATTATGTTTTCAATAATCTAACTAATTTAAAAAAAATATAATTTAAGCTATTCGTGTCATGAACGACTCGAACCAATACCAAATTAAGAAATATTAAAAATTATTATATAATTATATAATATATATTATTATATATAATATAATATGTAAATATACATAATAATTAATATAATATACACTATAAATAGAAATAAATTCAGGTCTACTGCCTCCTTAGTTTTTTGATAAGCTCTTGAAAATTTTTTCTCATATTTATTAATTATTTATTATTGAAATCGAATATAACATTTCAATAAATTACAGATCTACCCGATTGTAATGTTTTCATGACGGCAACCGTATATCGTCAGAAGTTAATTTTCGGTTTTTAAGTTTTGAATACTATAGTTAAAAATTAAGAAATACATAAACTGATAAACACATAAATACATTAAGAATAAATAAATACTTTTTTATTATTAAGTAACACGTGTTAATATAATTCACTCGTATGAGTGATGTCTGTATCGTGTTTAGAAAGTCTTTTTTTATGGGAGAGAGAGTAAAAAGAAATACAAATTTATTTTTTAATATAAAATAATGATCAAAATAGATTTATTGATTTAATGAATACATATTTTTAACAATGAATTATCATTAGATATGGGTAAGTAATAGGTGTGTATCTATCAATCGTATCGAACGATATTGAGAAGGTACGCGTTTACGTTTCATTTAAATACGTTTTTTCTAAAGGTATATATTATGTGATATAAATAAAACTAAAAAATTGATCAAAACGAAGTATATATTAAAAAAAAAATCATAGAAGATAATATTATCTGAATAGTAAGCGAAGTTATAAAAATCATTTCATATTTTTTTCAAATTATTAGCATATAGCATACATACATAAAAGGTAAAAGCAATATTTTATGTACATTTTTTTTTTTGTATAATATACTTGTTGTAGTGAATGTGTAGTATTGTTTCGTCGTGCGTAAAATCGTATATTCTTATAAAATATCGAAACAAATTGATACATTTTTCTGATACTCTACGATATAATAAGTATGTAAATGGTGAACATTGTTGGTATATTTTATATTGAAAAATTATAAAATATACATATTTTGTTTGTATTATTAATATTAACTGAATTTTAGATATTTAAAATAAAATATCGAAAAAATTACCTATATTAAATATCAAATTATATAAAATGTAAATCATGAATATTTTCTATTTGTTGAATTTTACACTAATAACACGTTACTATTTTCATAATTATATTATCCTGATGCAATTTATGGGTACCTATTCAATGTATATGTGATAAATTCATCTCTACAAAATATGTACACCTTTTTAATTTGCACACGAATGATAAATCAATATATTCTGTAAGTTTTTTCGATATTTTGTATATATAATATATATTATTTGCACAACACAAGTTCTCATAAATATTATTCACGAATATTACATACTACATAATATGTATTATGAAATTTTAATTAAATCATTTTTATAAAAACCATAAAATATTTGTCATAAGTAATCCTAAGCAAATCATAAAAGCTTTGAAATAAATGCACAGTTTTTCAATGGTCATTTATAAATTTAAATTCTGATAAAATTGAATATTTAAACTAAAAAGTATAATTTTAGTTGTTTTATAATTATTCAAAAATAGCAATTGCCTATTTTAAATAGGCTATTTATGTCATGAACCTCAGAAAAGTGAAAACTATTCTACGGTAATTTGATATTGACTCGAATGGTAATAGAAATAATATAATATGGTATTAATATATACTATGATAAATTATGATAATTCATAATTTAATGAATATGAAAAAAAAAACTTTTGTGTTTGACATTTAGGTATAGAAGCAATAAAAATACAAATTCTCCATTATTCAATTTTATTTATTGTAATTCACCAGTACGTTGATGACTTATAATATTATTTAACAATACCTTATTAATAAATGCTTATTATTCTAATATTAAGTAAAGTTACACAGATCGTTAATATTATGCACCCACCAGCGGAAACAACTTGTTTTAACCTTTGTTACTGTTTAATATTATAATAAAATATCTAGTTTACAATATGCTCATGATATGACACTAATACATACACTATTTTACAGTTTTATGTTGAGATAATTTACCTGAAAACCGTTTTTTTCATTGTACTACAATAATTGTGTAAAATTAATAAAATATATAAATATTTAAAAAAATTTTATTTCAACGAATTCAGAAATCGATTTAAACAAAACAAATAAATCTAATATTACGAAAATCAATTTACATTTCGATATAATATAGGTGATTTGAAAAAAACTGGAGAAAAAATCAGTCGTTTGGTTATTAACATATTGATTACGAATTATGTTTACTTCCGTGAAATACCGTACCTACGTGTTAATATAAACATTGAATAGTACGTCGTTCGAATGTTGTATTTAATATTTTGATCACGTAAACACGACAGCCGAACGTTCTAAATCTCGTGGGGCGCGGGAAAATTGAAAACGAAAACGGTGTTTTACGCACGTCATTTATTAAACTCGCAAAAAAAGTATTCGTTTTTAGCGGCAGTGCTATATTGTTTTGACATTAATCTGAACAGAGTTATATTGGACATTTTTTTTTTTTTTTTTTTTGAGAAAATTATGTAAAAAAAAAAAGAATGGATTTCAATTTAAAATTGGTGAAAGAAAATCTCTTCAGTTATTTTGAGTGAAAATGCGTATCGTACTTATCGTACAGGTACACTTAACATGGACGTGCATCATACGTGCTAGGCGCATACAATGCGTATTTTGATCTTAGGTATTTTTTATAACATATTATAGCTCATATAAAAGTACTCGTATAAATTATCGTAATTTTTAGTTTATATGAATGACGTTAACATCTATATACACCAGTAAATATGAATTAGTAATTACCAAAGCGACCGGTTACTATTATATACATATAAAAAAATAAATATTTGAAAAAAAATTATGTAAAAAAAAAAAATACAGTTTACCACCAAAAGTCTTAAAATTGCGTTTTCTACCATGTTTTCTAATATCCGAGTGCATAAAGTACCTACATTTTAAATTAATTCCAGAATATTTAGCAGAAGTGTTGATGAATTATAATACAAATTTTAACTAAAATAAAAACGACTGTATAATCATATTACACACCTTTATGAACCATTAACTCCAAAAGAACGACTGTAATTATTAAAATGTTAGATACATGACATTCCTAAGATTTAATTAAAACAAAACGATCAGCCTAAAATGTTTGGCCTATTTTTACCTATGACTGTTGTCCTGTAGTGTCGACGCACGTTGCACACTTCCTAATTATTTTCTAAAACATTTACACAATTGAACTTTTTTGATAAAACCAAGTACGTACAGACATATTGGAGTATTCTTTTTTTAGTGTCGTATCATCTATATCTGAACAAACCCCCTCGAGCTAAAAAACAAATAGCCCAATGTATTAGTATTTTACTCATGCCTATCAAAATATTTATATCCAAACCATAAAAGTAAAATTAATTTTATTATATACATTATTTTGCAACCCTCCCCCCCCCAAAAAAAATCACTCAAAATACAATGATGATGATTGATAATACTCATTAACGGGATCATGCATAATGACGACGTGTGAATAATACAACTTCATAATGATTTGTTTATATTTATTGATTTTAGATATTTATTTACAATTTAACGGTTTTAGAATGCGTAATAATCGTCTGAGTGATAAACTCAAAACGCGGGTAGAGATATTTTGCAATTTAGACAGAAGCAGAGCGTCCGGCCAAGTTTGATTTCTTGGCATCTCGCCGAGTGCTGGCCACGGTACCGGGTTGATTGTGGCTCGTGGTACGTCGATGGCCTGTCCCGCTTGTCTCTGTCAAATCGTCGGACATTTCGCTATCCGCTATGGTAGATAACGTGCTGATGTTACAGCCACTACTTCTCATCCTACGACTTCTTCTTCTCCTTTTCCTTGTCTTGCTCCCCATTGATCGCCGTCTTGAAGACTTTCTCATCCTTCTCTTCCTGCGGCGTCTGTCACACCCACTGGTAGCCATTGTGAGGACGGAACTACCACCACTGAACGACGATGTATCGTCGGTAGCCTCTGCGTCGGTATTATCATTGCCGTCGTCTTCGTCGCTTCCACTGATCTGATATTGACGGCGACGACGCCGATCGCTCCTTCGCCTACTCCTTCGCCTTCTCCTACGTCTCCGGGACGTCGCGTCTACCGTTGACGAGTCGTCGTCGTCTTCTCCAGCGTCTGTATTCGTCCCATAGTCATCATCTTCGTCTTCTTCGGTACTGCCTATGTTACGTCTCCTGATACGACGGCGACCAGACCGCGTTCGGCTCCGCCTTCTACGGTTCTTCGACCTTCGCCTCGTCGATGATCGACGACCACGTCTCAATGTTATTAGATCGCTGACACCACTGGTCGATTGACCAACGCCGTCTTCGGTAGTACCGACGTCGTTTCTTCTTAAAGTTCTGCTTCGCTCTGCCAACTTGATAACCTTCAATCGCCTCTGAGTGCTGCGTTTACCAGCCATAATTAACAATTTTGCTTGGTCCCAGTGTATAAAAAGTAATAACGACAGACAGCACTCATAAAATTCTTAGTTAAATATTTTTTCAACACAACTCTCATGGAAAATAAACAACTGCAAACTTTTCATTCGACGCACCGTATAAATACTAAACACGGAGCTTTTATTTTGGCCAACAACAATAAAATATTTTAAATATTAATGAAATCTGTTCGTGAAATTATGTATATTCTTTGTATTTATTATTTGATTACACATAATTTGAAAAATGATTGCCCAATTTCGGATAGTATTATAAAATCAATCAAATTGGGACGACTAGTATGGCTAAATTAAACACTATATCATATAATAATATATATTATTATAAGATATATATATATATTGTAACAATAATATATATTATTGTTACATTACACCTATGTATGTGTCAATTCCGTAGTAGGCAATAGTGGGATATTTATGCTGAGATAAACATTGTTAATGATTGTGAGGCCTGTGGCCAATACGCACCGTTTATCGAAAGGGCAGTTCGAGACTGACCAGCAATAAACACGAACTCACCAAAAAAACATGAACTCACCAACACCGGGATTGTTTACCACCATCTACATTTTGTTAAGTACAAACCAAAAATATATTTTGAACAGAGATTTATAAACCAAACGTGTTTTATTTATTGATAAGATCCCACATACCGTGTTCTAACCCCCCAGCTACGGAAAATTTATCCATAAGGACCAGAAAACCTTCCCTGGATAACTAATATAGTAACTAGGTTCTCCAGCCACGTTACAATATATTAAGATAATTATACAATATTAAAGCGTATATACTATTACGGTTAATCTGTTGTATTTGAACTTAAAATGTCTACAATAATTTAACATCTTATTAAGTTATAAACTTTTAACAATAAAATAGCTTGCGAATTTCCACAAATGTTATCAATATTTAAACACCAAACGTTAGTCAATAATAAAAAAAAAAATTATCTATGTATATTAAATATTTTTAAATTTCTGAAAAAACAACGATTGTAGAATCTTATATCTTTTAATAATCAAGTTTTTTTACTAAACTAAATTTTACTATATTTTAGGCAATGAAAGTCTGACGCTAACTGATCTGTTACAATGTTGTAAATAATTATTATAAATTGCAAAGCGCACAACGGTTGTTTTCATTTTACAGACATTGTGAAAATTATATTATATTTTGTCGTTTAGCCGCCCGAATATCCAAGTATGATATAACACAACATTGCTGTTTGTTATAATGATATCACGGTGACGACTGTCAAACTGTCAACGAAGCACTGATTGAATAATTTAATAAGTACGATAAATCTCCGGTGTACGTTATATAATAATACAATTATTATAATATATTATGTACGCGCATAAAATAGATACTGATTTTTATCTTAATCAAACGTCTAATAAATTATGTTATATACTTATGTCCAATGAAACACGATATTGTGATGGGTTGTCAACTAGATTCATTTTTCAATCAGGAACAATAATAAATTTGAAAATCTAAGAAAATGTCTGCTTAAGCCTGAGAAAGTTTTAAATGCTACTCTCGTGTATATTCATATATATTATAATCGATGGCGTTTAAAATACAAGCGTGCGTACGATAATAATTTATAGTGCCGTAATATTATGACTTAGGTTTATCACTTATCATTCGTTTTGACATAATATTTGTATCTACATTGCAGACAGTTTGTATTATACCCGTACAATGTTACTCGATATGTTTTGCAATAAAATTGCACTTTGATCGTACGAAACAATATATGGCACTATAACAAAATAAAGTCGAATTGTATATTAAGTTAAAAAGCATTTACGTATATGACCGATGAGTATTTTAAAATCGCTCACCACATCAGCTATATTTTTTAAGTATTAAATTCTGTAAATCATAAAAAATCAAACAAACGTAATAATTATTTTTAAATTGTCAGTGCAAATCTCAAGTTACATAAAAACCAAATATTTTATTTACTTGTCAAATGTCTTAATATAAGACATATTATACATTTATATCAACTGAAAATTTTCTAGTTACGAGAGTAAATGATAATATGTATATATAATTTTACATTTTCAAAAAGTTAATTACATGTTTATTTTTATGAGTAAACAATTATTAGGTGCAAAAAGTAATCGATCAACGACTCTGAGACGTTTATATGATTACCTGATAATATTTCTGTCAATATGTAATCAATTATTTTTTCGTCATGCACATAATATAAAGTGTTTGTAGGTTTATCAAATAAATCGAATTTTTCTACGTCAATAAAATACTCGTTACTTGCATTATTTCATAATTTTTGCAAACTGACAATAAGCCAAGCCTACAATTTAATAGGGTTTTTTTTTTTTTAACGAGAACTCGCACCATTGCCAATTTTAAGCCGTAACCTTGTTTACAGGAAAATGTGTAGCAAAAAATATATGTCCGACAATTAACTGAGTAATTCAGAAATGCTGAGTATTTGTTTAATTTTCCAGACCACTCGATCCTTCTCTCGAGTCATCATCATTATTTGAATGTGCTTCTCTATGCATACTACTTGAACTTTATCGACGTATTTTTTTTTAAATAACATAGAAATAATAATAAAACATAAAATAATTAAATGCACAAAAAAGGTGCAAAACTGCACGTTTATTAACTATTAATTACATACGAATGAATTATATTACGAGTAAACACACACACGCATATATATATATATATATTTAATTATCATTTTTATAAACTGTAGAATGTTGAGTGTTGGTAATCAAAATAATTTATTTAAAACAAATTAAATTACATTAAGTTAAAGATGTAATTTACTAAATTTTAATAATCCATGATCATCATTGAAACTTTACTCTTTTATTTAATTTGCTAAAATCTCTTTTTTTACAAATAACGTGTATGGTGTATACTGTATATACAATATAATATAATAGTAACTATGATATGATAATTTTTAATCATCAAAAACTAAAATATTCTCGTAAATGAAAAAAAAAAAATTCAATTATGTAATTAATTTGAAGTTTATATCAAATTTGATGTACAATTTTAAGTTAAAAACCTGTTAAATACAAAATAATTAATAACATTGCACTATGAAATAAAAATATCGAATATAATACTAAAACAAAGTTATAAAAATACTCTAAAAACTAAAGAATATGGGTAAATACAAAAAATTATAGATACTTAAGAAATTCATATTCATAAACGACATAAACTATATAGTTAATCATACTTACGCATAAAATATTTTATGGTAATTTCGTATCCAAGTCATACATTTAATATTATATGCAATACTATATCGATCAAGGTTAGAGTATAAACGATGATTAATAATTAATTTTTCGCTAGGTTAGTGCTTTTATAGTTGTATAGAACATCGAACCAATAGTATGATCACATAATATTATAACGAGTACTTTTAATAGAGAACAAATCTATTTATTTAGCTATCAAATTATTGATTAGCTGCAAATTATAATTTGAAATATTCCTGTGTGAATTCGCTCATTCTATATTTAAAATATAAATCAAATATGCAACTACAACTTTACTAGCATAGAAATTACCAACTTTAGCGATTTCTTCACAATAGCCCCATAACTCTTAACAAACTTCCAAACCACTAACCAACCCACTACTATCGACTGATATACCACCAAGTAACCAGTATATGTCGTGTAATTTTAACCCGTGATTCACGAAATAATGAATAATTTAATATTGAATTTGAATATTAGACGAAACAACGACGACGATATTACAATATTTTATCTAATAAACATAACAAAATATAATTTATGAATACACCCGTCGGTTGTCATTGTTGTTGCTGAAACTTGGTATCACACCATCTTTTGTGGCACTGTTGAAAATTCAATATTATTACATCTGAGTGTCTGAAATAACATTAAATTAATTATTTGTTTGTTCAAGCGAACGTCACACCCGCATGGGGTTGTATCCGTCTTACAAACGTTAAATATATATCTATCAAATACGTGTTCAAAAGCACCAATTATATTTTATCAGTTTTAATATTATCGAGTGCATAGTTAACCTATTGTCAAACTTAAAGGTAAGACTATTATCTGTGTTTTTCATTTGTTTTTAGTAATATTTTAATTTTTAAACAATATGTTATGAGCTCAAAAATTTGTCAAAACTGAGTCTAATATGTACACGTATCTATCTCGTAGAAAATTTAAATAAAGTAAAAAATTAACCTATTTACTCATATAATTTAACGTTTACCTTTGATACAATAACTAGCTAATCCATTTCAATATTAAAGCTAACACGAATAATAATTCTGCTGAACGAAAATTTGCTATATTCGTATGTTGGGCATATTATTGTGGTTTGTAAGACGGAGACAAGACGTATGGATCTTCGTGTTCTAAAATTGAATTGTCACCAATTAATAACAATAGTAAAATACCAGTGTATAATATATTTTAATTTTCTTTTAAACCCAATATGTCGAAGAAGATATTCACAATTGTATTAGGTATACTGTATAATTTACGACCTCAAAATCTCCTACCACTAATTTTTCAAACTTGCAGTAACTTACTTCATGAAGTTTTTATTTGTAAATCGATTGAATTACTAAAAATACGTAAATAACAATTATTATAATATTTTTCTGCCATCATTTTAATAATAGACCGTCAATTAAAAAATGATCTTTGACTAAAACGTGCATATTTATCTATAATGTAATAATATTATGATGGCTATTATTATAAGTAAATACGGTCGTTTTTATTCAATATTATTGCTAATGAAATCTTTACTTGATGTACACCATCTATAGTTAAAAAATAATTATAATTTAGCCAAGCTACGCTTAAAATATCTGTGTTTAATTTGTCTTTCATCTAGGTTGACTATATTAACATAAATTGTTCGTCAATCGTTAATTCCGTACATCTCTACACCTATAT